CGTACTCAGGTGATACCGAGGCCAGAGACACAGAGAAGGGGTTCTCGTCCGCCTCCTAGACCATAGGGTCCGCCTCCAGTGACTCATCTGGATTTGAGGGCCACCATGGCCAAGCAGGTGTGGCAGCTTAGATTTGTTCAGTTCGAGGACTGGTTCCTGCCGAGGAGGGACGAGCGTGCTTCAGAGGGTTTCTATACACCACTGCAGGAGGATTTCTATAATGCATATCTTAATAGTGGGGTTGCTTTTAGATCTCAGAGAGTATGCTCTATTGAGGCTATTGTAGCAGCTGCAGGAGAGCAGATCCGTCCTCACCTTTCTTACCTGCCAGGGTTGACAGACCTACTTGGGTGAACAGGCATATATGTACCATCATGGGTCCGTGAGTTCTATGCTACACTTTGGATTGACCTAGGCCACAGATTTATTCACTTTGCATTCAGAGGCCGTGACTACAGGCTAATGAGCTTCAGGGTCAGAGAGATCCTCATATTATAGGAGTCACCCATCTGCATTCATGAGGCTTGCTATGGTCACACAGAGCCTCTGAGACGCCCTCACGGCGATCTTGTGCCTCCCACAGATCTCATCCGACCTTGCTTCTCAGAGCCATTCGGCGAGGGGTCGAGCAGGACACCTAGAGATCTTACTCCTATAGCCAGACTGCTTGATGCTATCATGAGGAGGACCCTGCTACCGAGGATGGGATATCACGAGGGATTGACTCACATTCAGTTGTGGCTACTGAACGCTCTGATGCAGCAGACAGTCTCTGATGTATGGGATGTCATTCTTTCTGAGATAGAGGATACACTTGCAGAGGGATTCAAAGGTCACAGGCAGCTACCATATGCTCACTGGATTACTTTTCTGATTCACTGGGCAGTCACAGTGAGGCTTCCTGAGATGTTGGCAGAGTATTCTGGTGCTACTACAGAGTTTCCAGCATATAACATGACTCAGATGCTCCACCACAGTGCAGCGAGGACACCTAGCCAGACGCGTCGTCGCCTAGAGGTGCCAGAGACTGTAGCCCAGTAGGATAAGACTATCAGGGGCATTGCAGCGATAGAGGAGAAGCAGCTAGATGCTCAGTAGGAGGATATGGTCGAGAGCGACCCCAGTGACAGTTTGGATGACGACTACAAGGACATCCCTTAGATGCCTCCACGACGACATGACGGTGAGCCAGTGGCTCCAGCTCAGCTTCATCGGCACCATAGACAGACCCCACTTTACTTACTATACTTGAGCGGATGAGGCAGGATCAGGCTTGTCAGGCCCAGGAGACAGCAGCTGCTCTAGCACAGGTTCAGGCTAGACAGGACGAGTTCCAGCGACAGCAACAGGCTATCCAGCAGCAGCAGCAGGCCATGCAGCAGGCCATGCAGCAACAATAGCTCCTCATGCAGCAGCAGTTACTTAGATTCATGCAGCATGTTGTTATTGCCATTGGGGCTCCACCACCACAGCTTACACCTCAGCTCGGCCAGCCTGCCACCACTTCACAAACTCCAGTTGTATAGCCCAGTGGGCTTCAGAGTCAGGGACAACAGCTACTCAATTTGCTTCACCTACAGAGCAGGTGTCCCAGTGGTTTGCCTCGCCAGTGATAGCCCAGGGTCCGCAGTTGACACCGTTACATATTGGATAAACTTAAGTTGATGGGCTTCTCTTATTATTTCTCTCATTTAAGCCTCGAATAGGTGTTATTCTATTTCTAAAATAAAGTATTTAATGTTTATCTAAAAATAAAGAAATGATTTGAAAAGCAAGTTTTGTTTAAAAAGAATTTTAATTTGAACTACAAATGAATTTACAAAAATAAAAAGGGCTAAACTCCCTCTCTCTCGCTCCCTGGGCCGAATCCAGACGACCCACCACCATCCGCAGCCCTTCCCTCCTTCTCCTCTTGGGCTCGGCTTGTTCCCCGCCAGCGCCCCTAACTTCCCTCTCGCCTGGGCCTTGGCCCGCTGGCTCAGCTGCAACAGCCCTACTGCTCTCTCTCTCTCTCTCGCTGGCGCAGTGGCCCCACCCGTCGGCTTCACCCCTCACCTCCGTCCGCAGGTGCAGGACGACGCCGTCACCACCCCCGATCAGCTCCGTGCGCGTGACCGAGCCCCTCCCCGCGTCCATAGCGCCCGCACGGACCGAGCCTACGCCGCCAGCCGTAGCTGCCGCGTCTTCCCCAGCGACCGCATCAGGCGGAGGCGGACCAAGCCACCGCCGCTCCCTTTCCCTGCGCGGTTGAGCTCTGCGCCCGAGCCCTCCCGAGCGCCTCCTCTACGCACCGCTGCCACCTCTCCTCCCTCTGCGCCCCCTCCCTGCTCCAATGCCGCTATCCAGCGCTGCCGCCGCCATTGCCGGGCTCCGCCCCGAGCTCTCGATCTCCCTCATCCGAGCATCTCCCCCGCCTCCGTTGAGTCCTACGGCTTCACAAGGACACGACAAACCCGTACCTCAACCTCTACTCGTCGATCCATGGCCCCAACCTCGTCTCTGACCTCGTCGCGCCTCCATGGCCACCGAACTTCGCTCCTCGCTGTGAACCCGTATCTGGCTCCTCCCCGCCATTGAGGTCACCACTGGCAAGCTCGCTGCACCATCCTCATCGACTTCCTCCATTCGCCGTGGCCTCCTCTCCATCCTCCGCCGCTTGCCGACGACTGCCGCCCGCCGAAGTGCCGTCCCGGCCGACGCCGGCAAGCCACCGCCGTCGGGCGCTCTGTTTTGCCCCGCCGTGCAGAAGAAGAGAAGGGTGCTCCTCCCTGCACCGTTTGATCGGCAACGTGTGGCCCTGATGCATCGTTGACCGTCGGTCAACCAGCTCCGTCCCAATCAGCACGCTCCATCCAATCATCTTCCGCCGCGTCATCGGTCACGCCATGTCAGCAAGGTCAAAACTCCAGTCTGCATCCTTTTGCGATCTAGCCCCAGATCATTTGCTTAATATAGATACTGTTTTCTGAGTCTATGTAGTCTTACGATCTAGCCCCTGATGTCTACACATAATTGTGTTCTGACCCAAACAGAAGTGATTTTACATAAAAATGAGTTTATCTTTGTTTTAAAAATGGTTAATGATGTTATTATTTCTATTAATAATAGTGTTAATCCGTTTTGTTGGTAAAAATAAATATAAAATATTTTTGTTTTTATAAAATTAATTAATGATGCCATAAATTATATTATAATGTCATTAATGTGTTTTAGTTAATAAAAGAATTACTAAAAATGAAAAAATTTGCAAATCAATCTTGAGGATTTTATAAAATGATTTGGTGGTCCAAATGTTTTAAATTTTTGCCCTTGCCTTTGAAAAGTATTTATAAATAAATCCTTTTATTTACAAAATTTACAAAAACTTCAAAAGCCCATATCTTTTTAACTGTAGCCCCGTTTTTAATGGTTTTTGCGCTCACGTGATCGTAGAAACAAGCCCTACGCGTTAGTAACCTTTTTAGTACGTTTTCTGCATTGATTGGTGTATTGTTCTTAGGTATCTTTGGTATGATCGTTCCCGTTGTTGCTGTCTTTCGAAGAAGAGTTGATCAAGGTTGATCCCCAAGGAAAGCTTTTGTGTTTGAACAGCGTTTTGAAGGCAAGTGTCTTTGACCATCTTGCACCTATATTTGTTTTATTTTGAGTTAGTAGTTAGACTATTAGCTGCATGTTGAGTCTAAATTGAATCCCATGTTAGGGTTTACTAGAACTTACTTTATCATCCTTTAAAACCTGGGTTGGATGGATAGAAGTCAATGCTTAGCCTTGCAGTCTTGGGATGGGAAGGTTATAATTTAATCCTGATTAATGATATATGCAACATGTGGGATGGTAATCCTTTTAGTGACATGGTGATTAGGAAATCCGGTAGGATAGATGGTCTTGGTGGTGGTATGTGCCAAATTTTGGGGTAAATGTTTTCTGGTGGAAAGTTAAGATTGGTGAAATGGGTTTGTGCTAGTTATCATGCCTGGATTTGTAAGGACCGGTTCTTGGACATGTAACCTGGCAAAACAGCGCAACCATGAGACCTACAACATGGGCTATGGGCCTGGCTAATTAATTAGTTCCTCCAAGTTATGCTACATCAGGTTGGTTTTTGTGGCTCAAGAGGGGACTTCTGTAGTGGTGGTGGTACCCACTGTTAACGGTGAAACCTTAGAGAAGGTTTAAAACAGGCTTGGAGCGGCTTTGTAAAGGCCTTGTAGTGTGACCCCACTAAGCACCTAGGTAGTGTGAAGCGTGATGGAAAAAACATGACTCATGGTGAAAGTGTGCAACCTCTGCAGAGTGTAAAACAAATATATCAGTCGTGCTCACGATAAAGAACAGGCTTGGACTTCTTCGTGATTAGATGGCTCTAGTTCTGATGGTGAGTGGTTCCCTTGGTAAGGGAATGGTTGGTTCAATTGGGAGCTTGGATGGAATCCAAGTGTCGGTTCTTTGAGAAGGCAGAATTTCACGTAGTAATTAGGTGCTAAGGATTTAAGAAAAATAGGGTGTATCGCTTAAATGCTTGTGTCGAACTTTCTAAGCCTTTCCTTGTGTTGGCCCTCATGTCAAACTTTTCCTACACTTGCGGAGTACATTTCAATGTACTCACCCTTCCTCTTTGTTCCCCTTCTACCCTACCCAGTTGTTCAGACTAGAAGACATAATCCCTAGAAGACAGTGTTGCCTCGAAGACGATGTCGATGCTAGGTTGGTGTACTCCGGTCGGCTGCCTGTGGGGATGGAGACCCTGCTCAACTGGAACTCTGATGTATTTTTGCTCTAGACCCTCTGGTCATTTTGTAATAAATTACGCTTTTGTAATAAACACTACTATGTATCACTGTAATTATCATTACATGTATGAATAAACAGATCCTGGCATAAATGTGTTGTGCATTCGGTTTTGTTTTATAAAACCGGGTGCGACACATACTTACTATTATTTCAAGCACTATCAAAAATCAGTAAAGCAGCAATACCACGGCACCGCAAACCTTAATAAATTACGAGGGAGCACCAAGGTAAGAAGATAGACGCAGTATGTCGCTGAAGACGCCTCCTGCAGTAACTTCTGCACCAGCCCCCGGACCTCGTACGATCAGTGGTTGCTCCTTGTACCTCGAGGTGGTAAAGGCTATGATGTTGTCAGAACCAGATAACTGCGCAAATGGGTGGTCCCTCTTGTAGCGTCGCAACTCTACCTGCCCCTTCTTGTTGACTACATCCACAACTCCAACATACCGCAAAACCTAAATACAGAAATGGATCAGTGAATTCTTATATAATCAGATTTTGGAAACATATCTGGAAATGTGACATGTGCTAGAGAAATTGACAAAGGTCAGTTCAATAGTTGCTGAAAGATTAGCATTAAGTGGTCACATGTTAACGGTAATACTTTATATTTGCTGCTTGAATTTGCAAATGCTTTCCAAGAAAAAAAAACCTACACCGTCATTGTATGTACCAACCGCTAACAGCACTTGCCTTGATTGGCCTGTAGTGAGTGATGTGCAAGTGGAAACATGATATAAGCACATTTTCCTAAAGCATAATCTTGACCATTTCATAAAAAGAATAAGAGAGTACTCACTTCTCCTGCAGCTTCAGCATCTTTCCTCTCTCTTGCCCAGTCCTGGTCAAAAGATGGTAATTTTTGCATGTATTCATCGGCTGATGTACATGACTGCATTAAAAAGAACAGTAAGAAGTATTTGTATAAAAAAACGTACTCCCACTGTTCTAGATTATAGTTCATTTCAGCTTTCTCCTACGTCAAAATTCTCTAATTTTGACTAAGCTTATAGAAAAATACATCAACATCTAAAATATCAACTAGTTTCATTAAATTCTCTATCGAATGTCTTTATAGTGCATTTATTTGAACTTCTAGATGTTAATATATTTTTTTCTACAAATTTGGTCAAAATTAGGGAGTTTGACTTAGAACAAAGATAAAGTGAGTTATAATTTGGAAAGAGGGAGTAGCTATTACTCACTTCGATCTAAATTATAAGTCTGTCTTGGGGTGTTTTTGGTTTGGTGGATATCTCTGTATGGGAGATGACAGTCCATGGACGAGATGTTTGGTTCGCCGGCGACTTGGACAAGGATATCCACCACAAAGGAATATTCTCTATATGTATGCTGGATAAGCTCGCTCCTAAAAATCTGCTAGACAAGCTTGTCCATGTTTTCTAATATTTGTCATTATTAATAAATAAATTAAGCATTATAAGTATGTTATATTATTACTTAGTGATTATGATGCCAAGATTAATTTCGATAAGTGCTAATATATTAATTAGTACACGTTAAGTACCTAAGTGTGCTAATTAGGGTAGTAGTAGTGCTAGTTACCATATTTTATTTTAATTAGTGATTATCACGAAAAAATTAGTGTTAGTGCATGTTTATTAGTGGATAACTAGTTGTTATTATATTTAACAGCAGATATAATTTGTTGGAGCCTACCCTGCTGCGTAGAGAGTATGAGTGGGAGGTGGATGGGCGAGCTTGAACGCCCGGCGGCGAGATGGCGGCGCCGTGCTCGGCGCCGAGAGCGAGGATTGCAGAGTGGGAGAGCGCGTGCACAATAGGGCCAGGGAGCGAGAGAGATTAACTCAGTCTCTGGCTAACCTTCTCATTAACAAATGTTCCAAACTTATATAAAAATCCTAACAACTCATTAGCTAACTTTAAGGGATAACAAATCCAACTATCTAACACTTCCTAATCTCTTGGATCCTGAACGGAGACGCGAACTTCCTGGCGGCGTAGCTGGCGCGACTGCGTGGTGACCGCGCTCTGGTGCTGCCCGTCGCGGCCCCATCCTTCAGCCACTTGTCTTGGCGCGACAACGATAGACATTTCCCACCATAACATCTCTCGCCCCCTCAACGAACAGCTCGTCCTCGAGCTGGAAATCGAGGAAGAGGGCCTTGAACGCTTCAACGTGCCGACAGCTTGTTCTTATCACTTATCACAGCGACACTACGCCGTTGAGCTCCTTCAACGTGCCGGCATGGCTGAGTCACTCTACAACGTGCCCCTGTTGCTGATCCATCCGCGTACCGGAGCCTTGCTGGCGCACTCCAGTACCTCACGCTGACTCGTCCTGACTTGGCATACGTCGTCCAACAGGTGTGCCTCTTCATGCATGATCCCTGCGAGCCGCACCTCTCGATGATCAAGCGGATTCTATGCTACCTGAAGGGCACTCTCCTCCGGCCTCCACATTGGTGTCGGCCTTGTTCAGTCATTGGTCGCCTACTCCGATGCCGACTGGGCTGGCTGCCCCGATTCTCGGCGCTCCACCTCCGGCTATTGTGTCTACCTCGGCGACAATCTGATTTCTTGGTCCTCCAAGCGTCAGACCACGGTCTCCCGCTCCAGTGCAGAAGCAGAGTACCGTGCTGTTGCTCATGTGGTGGCCAAGTGCTGCTGGTTGCACCAGCTCCTGCAAGAGCTCCACGTCTCCATTGCTTCGGCGACGGTTGTCTACTGCGACAATGTCAGCGCTGTCTACATGACAACCAACCCCGTTCATCATCGTCACACGAAGCACATTGAGATTGATATTCACTTCGTCCATGAGAAGGTCGCCTTGGGACAAGTTTGGGTTCTTCATGTGCCGTCCTCTCACCAATTCGTAGACATCATGACCAAGGGCCTTCCTGTACAGCTATTTACTGAATTCAGGTCCAGTCTATGCGTCCGGGATCCTCCCGCTTAGACTGCGGGCGGGTATTAGGCAGGCCTACGTGTGATTAGCTATAATTAACACCTACTATGTATACTTGCACCTACTATGTATACTTGATTGTATTCCTTGTATACCCAGCCATATTGGTTATATATATATGAAGGTCACCCCCCATATTGGGTGTGAGGTGTATCTCTACAGTATGGTCGGGGCGGAGGCCTAGATGGACGGCATAAGCGGTGGCGTGGAGATCTCCGAAATGACAGGGCCCGTGGTGGGGAGCTGCGGAATGCCTCCGTAGCCCGGGAGACCGTACGACAGGAATTGTGGCGCAGAGGCAGACGGACGACCCTCGACGGTTGCCATGCGCGCGGAGATGTAGCCCATCTGGCACTGCAGGCCATAGATGGCCGCGGTGAGTGCGTTGAGGGTGTCGGTCGGGATAGCGGTGAGCGGGGGCTGCGGAGTGGCGGGTGGCGCGGAAGTGACGATGGCGGTGGTGGTGACCATGGGCGCAGAAGGATTCATGGGTGGAACGGCGGAGGTGGTTGGTGGTGGTGGGAACGACGGCGGTGGCAAAAACTCTAGAACCGGACATGGCTGATACCAGATTGTTGGAGCCTACCCTACTGCGTAGAGAGTATGAGTGTGAGGTGGATGGGTGAGGCTTGAACGCCCGGCGGCGAGGTGGCGGCGCCGTGCTCGGCGCCGAGAGCGAGGATTGCAGAGCGAGAGAGCGCGTGCGCAATAGGGCCAGGGAGCGAGAGAGATTAACTCAATCTCTAGCTAACCTTCTTATTAACAAATGTTCCAAACTTATATGAAAATCCTAACAACTCATTAGCTAACTTTAAGGGATAACAAATCCAACTAACACTTCCTAATATCTTGGATCCTGAAAGGAGACGCGAATTTCCTTGCGGCGTAGCTGACACGACTGCGTGGTGCTGCCCATTGTGGCCCCATCCTTCAACCACTTGTCTTGGCGCGACGACGATAGACATTTCCCACCATAACATAATTAGTCAGCTATTCAAACCCCATCCACTCATCCATCTAACAAAAGAGAAATGGCTCGTCCCATCCATCCAACCAAACAGGCAGTATGGATAAGTCCATCACGAAATCCATGGATAGCTATATCCCATCCAACATTGCCCTTAAACCAAACGCACCTTTAGCTTTTCTAGGCACATAGCTTTTGCTATGTCCCTAGATAGCGCATATATCTAGGTACATAGCGCGTATATCAAGCTATGTACCTAGAAAAGCCAACACGACTTATAATTTGGAACGCAGGGGGCGCTAGTCAAGAAGTGCCAAAACTTACCCTAAGTGCCTCTGGCACAAGACTTCGTACTGGAATATCAGAAAGCTCAAGCCTCAAACCAGATTCCCTTGCAAGGATTATGACCTGTCCCAACAGTACCAATTAACTGCCACAAATAATAGTAAACAATTTTGACAAAGAAAATTGTGCCTCATTCTCCACACAACTATATATAAACATTGATCATTTTGAATTTTTTGTTGATCAAATTGAAAAAGATACAGCAGTACTCTTAGAACATCCAATGGACAACTTAAAAATAATTCATGTTGTGTCATCTAGAGAAGTGATACATTAGCTTCACAAGAGGAAATGGTAATGAAATTGCTTCCCTATATAATGAACATAAAAGCTCAAGTCAGACATTTATTTTGGGGTAATGAAAGCACGGCAAGACTAAAGTTCCCCCATTGACTTGGATAATGAGGAAGAAATGTGGAGCCTAGAAGAAGGTTTTAGAAAGAACAAATGTCTAATCTAAATCAGAAAATTGTAGCCCAGTCCTTCCCATACCAAGACCTCCAAATCATAATGTTATTCTAACAGAAATTGTACCCAAAACCATATAGATCTAACAGTAACAAGTACAAGTTGTACAGTTTACAAATTTAGTAGAAAACAATCAGTACCTTCCTGGCAACATCAGTACCAGACAGATCATCTCTTGGATCTGGTTCCGTGTATCCGGCTTCTTTTGCTTCAGCAACAACATCACTAAAGGTTCTTGCTCCTTCAAAGTTGTTAAAAATATAACTTAACGTTCCACTGCAATTAAATAAACAGTTAAAACATATTAATGGCAATAAACTTAATAATGAACAAAAATGTACGAAGCACAGTCTACAGGTTCAACAGGGACTGTATAAACAGTGAAAATATGGTATCAGAAAAAATCAATGTGAATCCAATAAAAAACCTGTACTCTAAAATTACTCCCTTGTGCTCGTACTTATCTAAGGATCTGGTACATCCCTCATACAAAACATGTGCTATAAAATTACTCCCTTGTGCTCACACTTATCCAAGGATCTGGTATATCCCCTTGTGCTCATACATAACAAAGGATCTGGTATATCACATAAAAATACTAATATGCTCATGCCATCATTTAATCTGAAACTATACTGACCTGAAAATCCCTTCAATACGCAACATCTTGTCACCTGTCTCTAGGAGACCACGCAGAGTGCTAATAATAGGGAGGCCAGCACCAACAGTGGCTTCATAGAAGTAATGAGTATATGATGCACGCTGAAGAGTTCTAAGTTTCAGATACTGCAGGTCCGGGAGAATACAATAGTTAGTCAAAGAAAGCAACAGAATAGAGTCTAGCAAAATATTGGTTCATTCTATTTAATGTTCAGATAGCCTGTAACCATTTAACAGCCAAACCAAAACTACTATCAAAGAAATGCAAAAACAGAGAACATTCTCAGCAAAAAGACATGGTCAACAAAATTATTACCCTGTCAAGTGGCCCTGAATTTGCTTTCTTGTTTGGAGTGATGACATGGATTCCTTTCTTTAGCCAATCATAATAGTGAGATGCAACATTTGTGTCTGCTGTACAATCTACCAAAACTCTGTTAGGGAATAAGTGATTCTCAGACAAATGATGAACAAATTTATCAAGATTGGCAGGTTCTGCTTCAGTTTGTAGCTTCTCTTTCCACTGGGTCAAATCTATTCCTCTACACACAAAAAAAAAAAAACCTGAATAAGCAACATACAGAGAAATACCATATATCCATATATCAGTATCGTTATCATTACCACAACAGTAAATGAAAGGGGCTGTTTGACAAGCCAAGGCAACCAAGCATAGCAATTGTGTATGTTATTGTGATAAAATAAGAATTCTGTAACAGCATAATTTGACTACAGAAGAACTTATGGCCACACTACCCTAGTTAGTAAAATTACCACTAGAGAGAATAATCACCAACTTAATAAATCTACTCAGTTCAGATAAAAGTATAGTTGCAGATGTAAAATGCCGAGGGGAAAAACTACCACTTTTTTACTTACATATCACTTAAAAGCATTGTCCTAGAACCAGTTATTCCCATGACACGCAAATCAATGTTCAAATTTTCCTTGAGGGAAGCAGCCTGCACAATAGTTTAGATGAAATGTAAATTACAATATAAAATCCCGATCTAAGAGGAATTACAATATACAACCCTGATCAAAGAGGAATTACAATATAAAACCCCAATCAAAGAGGAATTGGCAACTTGTTCACAAAAGAGAGTAAATGGTCTAGTAAAACATTTTTAATGGTTCACTGTGAATTTAGTATGTTAGACAGCTGTTAGGTTTAGTGGGCTGCGCCCTTTGGGCCCGTGGCCACAGGCCCTGAGCCTCTTGAACATCTTGATAGATGATTAGTCATAGGCAAGGATCTCCGATGATTGGTCATACTTCTATAAACAAAACCCTAGGAATCCTTTCCTATATATTCATGTACCGTATACCTCTCTAATATATCTATTATTCAAGAGCCATATCCTGACTTAAATCATATGAAAGGGTCGATCCTCTACCTAAATGCTTCCGCCCAACCCTTACCTCTTCCCATGGACGCACCATCAGCCAAAGACAAGGCTGCCCTGTACCCCACTGGTGCTGCTGCAGCCGCCACCAAATCAAAGGCCGACGCCGAGGAAGGCGAGCGCCTCGCCGTCGCCAGTCGTGAGGCCAAGGAGAGGCACGCGCAAGCCACCAACGCTGCTGGCGAAAGCTGCTCACCCGCGCCCAGGACGCCAAGAACGAAGCCGTCGCCGCAGCCCAGGAGCATGACACCACCACCAACGCCCATCACACAACGCCCTAGCCCACGCCACTGCTGCAGATCAAACCCTGGAAGATGATGAGGCCGAGTCCCCATGCGTCCATGACAGTTTCCACCAGCCCGTCCAAGATGCCATGCTTCTCCATGAATCCGCAGCCATCAACCTCCAATCGCAGGTTGTTGCCGTACAGAACATTCAGATGTTGGTCCCGACTGTTCTTGGCCTTGCTGCCAGCAATTACACACACTGGCGCGGTGAACTCCTAGTTCTCGGCAAGTATTCTCTCCAGGAGCACGTCCTTGCAAACGTCAGTGGTCGCTCCTTCCCGGACTGCACACATGGATTTTGTTGTCCTGTTCTGAATTTGCAGCACCATCTACAGCGACCTCGAAGAGACCGTGATGTCCACCACGCACCAGGTCTGGCTTGCCCTTGAGAATCAGTACATTGGCAACGACGAGAACTGCGCGCTGTACCTTGACGCTGAGTGCCACAACTTCGTTCAGGGCGACCTCTCACCTCGGACTACTACACATCATTCAAGGCCTCAACGAGAAGCACAGCTCCATTGGTATGCACCTCAAGCGTGGCCGGCCCTTCCTAGCATTCCTCGAGGCCCACCCTGATCTGCTTCTTGAGAAGCTCACCCTCGCCAACCGATCGTCCACTCTGGTCACCGCTTTCACCGCCTCCAGAGGGACGGCCACCACCCCACCTACTGGAGCCCTTTCATGCCCCGGCACCACAGCAGCCCTCCGCTTCCGGGGGCACGTTGTCCGGGGGCAGGACAAAGCCCCCTGGCCACAAGCAAGCACGGCAAACGTAGTGCCTGCAATGGGCAGGGCGGCGTCCAGCAGCCTGGCACTGCAACTCCCAGCACTCTGGCTGGCGCTGGCCCAGCTACTCTTGGGCCCTGGGCATCCTTCTTCAACATGGTTATGGTCCATTCAGATGTGGCCCGGCAACCGCCGCCGCTAACTCCTATTCCTGAAGTCCATCAACCTAGGCCGGTCCAGCAGCCGCTGACTCCTCCGGCCCAGCAGACTCACACTTGTTAGGGAATTGGATACGGCAAATCAGTGGGATGTGGTATTCTTAAAACTAATATCTTTATTCTCTTCTCACACACACACATATACAGTTCAAGGCTATCTGAAGCTAGTCTTTCTAGCTTTCTAACTAGCTTCAATATACATACAGCTCAAGGCTATCTGAAGCTAGCAATCCTTATACAATCTAATTTAATAACTTACCTACAAAGGAGCATGCCCTTGCCATTTGGGGCGGTTTGCTACAGTAACCACCCTTACGTTGCAGTGCATGATACACAAAAAACTACTCCCTCAGTCCCATAATAAGTGCACTGCTGCAGAGCCGAGCACAGAGCGTAGGCACGCGGGGCGATACAGAGTAGCGCGGAGTCAACGGCTGCGAGCACATGGCTGGTCACCATGCCGGCTAGCACGACGGTGGGGTCCGGGAGACACTTGGCATCCGCGTGCTCTCCCTCGCCTGCCGGGGACGAGAGCAAGGACACGGGTGTCGGGCCCAGAGTTCATAATTTCGGCCGATTTTCACCGAAATTTGCAGAAAATCGTTTCTACCGGCAAGGCCCGGTGAAAGCCCATACTGGCCTTCTAATCTTGGCCTGATTTGATTTTTTTTAAGCCCAATCGTGATAGTTATAAGTCTTGTGCCTATCTATTAGGAGTAGCTGGTGCCTGTGTCAGCACCCTTATCATTTTATCTTGCTTTACTTTAGCATGTACTGTTTACTTTAGCATTTACTAGTTGGAATATGCTGTAATCCTTTCTTAAGGACCAAGTATGCTGTCCTATATGTATCCCCAACCTGCCATGTTTATGGTAAGGCTAATGAAATCAGAAATCTAGCTCCAAAACCTGTGCTTTTGTTCCAACAAATGGTACCAGAGCCTAAGTTCATCTGGGTTCCACCCTTACCCATCCCAATCCCGTAGCCATGTCCTATCCTCCCAGTAACCATTCCTACGCCGTCTACACCCGGTGTGGCCGGTCGGCTGGCGTTGGCGGCGCTGCAGAGTCTTCACGGGTGGAGGACGAGCGCACAGCAGCCCAAGCCGCAGCAGATCGGCGAGAGGAGGCGGTGGTGCGAGCCTAGGTGGTTGCGCAGGCGGCGCGGCTGGCGGTGGCAGAGCTCGCAGCGGCGCGTGCTGCTGAGGCAGTGGTAGCAGAAGCTGTTGCCTTGCGCTGTGAGGACCCACGGGGATTGGGCGGCGATGCGACGCGGGAGCGGCAGGGCGCGTATGCGCGCCTGGGCGCTGGCACGGGTAGAGCGGGCGCTGCTGACGACGAGCGGGCGCGGGATGCACGTGCGGACAGCGAAGCAGAGGCCGAGCAAGTGGAAGCGACCCTGCGCGGCGCGGGTGCGGGCCCAGGCGGACCGCGTGGACGCGTTGCGGTCGCCGAGCGGGCCCAGGACGCACGGGCGGCTCACGACGCCGATGCGTGGCTCGCGCGGGAGGAGGAGCGCGACGCACGGGCGGACCAAGACCTGGGCGCACGCGAACGGGACTTCGGCACCCCAGGCAGACGCGGCTTCGGCCTCGACCTCGACGGATGCGGACGGGACTTTGGCGCCCCAGGCGGACGCGGCTTCGACAGCGGCCTGGCTGGACGCTGTCGCGACGGCCTCAACCGTGACGCGGGTGCACGTGATGCCCGGATCGATCGCGGCCCGGAGGTGCAGCGCCAGCGTGAGCTCGCGGAGCTAGAGCAGGCTCTGCGGGACTTCAACACACGCAACCCCGGCGGACGCGGCCCCGGCGGGCGTGAGCAGAGCGGACGGGACACTGGCGCGTGGAGCCCTCACAGGCGGCATGCCTCCCCTTCCCCAAACCAGCGCCGTGGTCGCTGTGGCCAGCGCGACTCCCCTCTCGTCATCCAGACCGTCTTCAAGGACGCCGGTGCCGGCGGCGGGTGGCCCATACTCACCAAGACCAATTGCGCCGAGTGGTCCATGGTGATGAAGGTGAAGATGCAGGCGCGGCGCATGTGGGACACGGTACGGTACGGCGACGCCGACTTCGACGAGGATCGGCGGGCACCGGAGGCGCTTCTTGCTGCTGTTCCGCCGGAGATGCACTCCTCTCTCGCGTACAAGGAGACCGACAAGGACGCCTGGGACGCCATCGCTGCGGCACGCATCGGCAGCGACCGCGCCCGCAGATCCACGCTGTAGAAGCTAAACCTGGCTTTCAAGCCAGGTGAGGACGTCGGCGACTTCGCTCTCCGCCTCAACACCCTGATGCAGCAGTTGGCGTGGTACGGCGACGACGATGACATCGACAAGGAGAGAGCTGTCGAGAAGTTCCTCCGCGTCGTCCCCAAGAAGTACTTGCAGGTCACCATAGCGATCGAGATGCTATGAGACTTCTCCGAGCTGTCGATCGAGGAGGTAACAGGTCGCCTCAAGGCCGTCGACAACCGCGAGCAACTACCTCCCTCAGAGCCGGTCACCATCAGTGGCAAGCTTCTCTTCACCTAGTGGCTCGCCCGCCAGCAGGAGCGGAAGAAGGGGGAGGCCTCGGGTTCTTCGGCTTTGGGTTCATCGAGCAGCCCAAGCGTCGGCCGCACAAGCGGGACAAGGCGCCTGGTGGCGCTCCTGACAGCACCGGTGGCAAGCGCAAGGCTACCCACGACGACACCTGCAAGAACTGCGTCAGGAGCGACCATTGGGCCAAGGACTACCGGCAGGCGAAGCGTGGCAGTCAGGCACACGTCGCGCAAGCGCAGGAGGGTGACGAGCCAACTCTGTTCCTCGTACTCGGAGCTTCGGGCTGCACTCCTCTCCCGCGTCGGCCGCCGCTGCGCTCCTTTACCTCGACGAGCCGCGGGCCCATGTCTTCCTCGGCAACAGGTCCAACGGCGACAAGATCAACGGATGGTACCTAGATACCGGCGCGACCCAACACATGACGGGGCGGCAGGAGTACTTCACCGAGCTTGACTCCGAGGTTCGAGGCTCCATCAAGTTCGGGGCAATGTTTTCCTAAACGGTAAACGGTCTTTACACGGTCGCCCTTCGTTTAGCGTTTAGGCTGTTTACACGGTGTTTAAACGAAGTTAAACGGTCTAAACGGTTTTGTACTTTTAAAAAAAAATACATATAATTATATATGTGCATGTAAAAAATCAAGTATTCTAGCATTTATACATATTTATCCGAGTAAAAATCAATTATTTTGGTATGTATATATATTTATGCATGTGAAAAGAACCGAATATAGATATTTATGCATGTAACATATCAAGTGTACACATTTATAAATATAATA